TATTAAAATAAAAATGTAAGGACCATCGTGTAATTCTGACTTCACTAATAAGAAATACAGAAGCCAATTACGGCAAAAACAAAACAAAAAGAGTAATAGCAGACTTCCTTCGCAAAACAACAACAACACGCAAACAGTAATCTATCAAAAATATTTTTACCGTTTCTCAAATCACACGCTCTGTTACTTTCTGGAACAAGTAATAGCCAATTATCAATTCCTATTTTAAGACGAACGTTTGCAAGTGACAAATAACAGCATATAATTTCAGAAACATTCCAAGATGGTGTACATATAGTCGCACATCAACAATTCGAATGTTGGCTTTGTTGATGCCCTAGTATATGGTTCCACGTGAACGTACTCATTCGATATAAAAAGTCACTGTACAAGGCATATGGATTAACTTTATATAAAAACAAAATGTGTTTTATACATGTATTATATATACACACGCACATCTCCATCTTACTGTTAAGGATATTTCTATGACAGGATTTACAACAACAAGGTTTTCTTCTAGCACCCATACATGAAGACCATTGTAATCCACAGATCTATGGGGCAAATTATTTAACACAGCTGTTCCGTCTCTATCTGATTTTTCTTTCGGTTATTTAATATCATTAACAATTTAGTTATCTGTGATCGTACATTTCTTTAGAAGTACGGCGTTCATCAATCAAAGAAATAATCTTTCCAATCAATACAACGATTGTGGTTACTCCGGTTCACAAAATAGCGTATGTGCATTTTCGCTATTTTCTTAGGTAAAGACATGTATCTAATAAAATACTGAATACCAGAATGGTTACTTTAACCTAATCTAGATTTGTGGATTTGTAAATATGCGAATTAGCTTTCCGATAACTAACTTTTTCTTAACATTTAAATGTGTGAGAGTCGATTAAAATAATTTATAATAAGAGTTGATAATTAAGTTTATAAGAATGAAAAATGAGCACATATCCATAAACAAGCCACATGAGAACATAAACAGGTAGCTTCTGTCGGTTTCACCACCTGAACGATAATGGCTTCACCAAGCAATCAGCTGTTTCCGTTAAAAAGTCCACGTTTCATTAGCAACGGTGAGCGTTTTGATATGAGATATGTTTGTAACAAGTTGATGTGGAGTAATCTTGTTTTTACAGGAAAATCCAACTGAAATCATTACGGGTTAAATGGTTCGTGGAAAATTAATGAATGCTCCCCCCCTCTCTTTTCGGTTATAAAACTTTATGTTGCACAAACTGATTACTAAACCCTTTTCAATACCCTTAACCCGCAGATGGCTTTTCAGTAAGACTTGAGCCCAATTTGGAATACATATGTAAGTTATATCTACATTTAAAATACAACTTACATTTTTACTATATATATAATACACATTGAGGGATAAAATACGTAGAAAACTGTGGTACAGTTAGACATCTAGCTGAGGAGAACATATTAAATGACAAACAAGTTACTATGACGTGAGTATAACATTCTAAACCTAGATGTTTCTTAGAATATTTTGTTTGCTGAATTTCACGCAGAGCCTCAAGGGTTATCTGAGCTAGCCGTTCCTAGTTTAGAAGTAATAGAGGGATGGCAGCTAGCCAACACCACCCACTACCAACTTATAGGCTACTCTAATGGAATAGTGGAATTGACCGTCACGCTATAACGTTCCCACAGCTGAAGGAACGAGAATTTTCGATGATGGGATTCGAACCTGCAACCCACAGATTGTGAAGCGAGTGTACTACCCATCGTGCCACTTTAGATGAAGTCTGAAGTTATTACATGCACACCACCAAACATCTACAATTAATAACAAAAATATTTACACACCTTGGACAAATACCTCTTAACACTAATTATTCACACCCTATAATCTCTACTGAAAACATGAATTAATCTCACTTGAACAAAACTAATGAACTTATGTTGATTTACGCACTTACATGAGGATAAGTATTCAAGTACAGAAAATAACAAGAAACCTTACTTACATCTTTAAGAGGAACATATCTACTTCCTTCAATGGCCTGGATCACTTTCAGCTGAAAAAATAATGATAAGCAAGTAATGAACAGGATTTTATAAACATAATGTCTCTTAATTAACTATCATGGTTAAATAACGTACACTATTTAAGTTTAATAGTATGTTAACATACGTCGTGAATTATCAGAATGAGGTTTTCGCAGTTTTCTGAGGTAGTTAGAAACGAACTGTGTTGTTTGTGCTGAAATCACACTGTTTTTGTTGATACCAAAGTTCCTTAAGACTGAACTAGTTATTTTAATAAAACAAATACAGTTAACATACTGCTATAGTGTTAGGAGTAATTCCATGATTAACTTTAAAAATCCATGATTCGGCAGAAGGAAAACAACAACAAAAAAAAACTTTGTGTACTGAGACAGGTTAGATGATTTGCATTAAAAAACACCAACTCATAAAATCTGACAGTTAAATATGTTACTATATTTCTCTCTCTCCAAATAAACATTTTTACTCTATACTTAAATACAGCATCCAAATATTATATTACTTGTTGCTTCATCACTCGTGCTGGGTTAGACATGATCTCATAATTTGGTTCAGGTTCTTTTTTCTCTTCCTTCTCTTTCTCCTTATCAGCCTCTACTGTTTTTACTGCTTTCTCTTTTGGTTTATCCTTGGTTTTCTCTTTTCCTTCGTCTTTCTTTTCGTCATCCTACAATTATGATAACAAATTAAGTTGTAAGAAGCTTTTTTATTGTTCTGAATATCCATACATTGCTTAGTAATATGCGCTTAAGCCGTCCCTAATTTTGAACTGACAGACTAAGCGGGAAGGTAAGCTAGTCAACAGCACACACGGGCCCAAGGTGCAGAGCGCGATTTTGCGGCAACGGGACGCGAACTGGGGGACCCTTACATTCACAGCCCCGCGCACTATCCATCAGGCCACGCTGCGTCCAAAATGTTAGAATCAGCAGTAATTAGAAAGATTTTTCTAAGCTTAACTGGCAATGTGCTTTAGATGCATTTTGTTGCTACAACATCACAAAGCAACACTGGTAACATCCGGTTCTGCAATCTACTGTCTCATGTATAAACAAGATGCATACCATTTTGTTAATACTTCACCTGTATGTATATGTTGGTAGCGATAACAACTCTACAAATTGATTTTACCATCTTATCGTTATACACCATTATTGTTTAATGTCAGCCTAGTATTCTCTATGTACGCAACAAGAAACAAAGGTGTTTACAACAACTACACAGCTATATTTAGATACGAGCACCAGGTGTGAAATGTTTCGCTGAAAATTGAACGGTTATACAGAAACTTTAATACTGGGAGAACACGATATTAAAGCTTATGATTTACTTTGACGTAACTGTGGTGGGGTGCATGCAGATTAGTCCCGAAATAAACCACTACGCCTTTCTATCCGTCACTCATCACATTCCTTAACGAGTCCAAAATATGGGAACACATGATGCCTTATAACAATTAGGTTTCAGCTTCGTGTTGTATCCTGAATTTCGTCAAGCTTATTTATCACATGGCTTGCAGTAAAACCTGAGTTACCCGATAATGTTTCTCTTGTATTAGATTTCAAACAGTTGGTAATTCAAACGAATTTCTAGGAATGATTACAGAGAAAATACAATAATTTCCAAGATAATTTCTTAACATAAACATAATTTATCCAAAATTTGAGGTTTGAAAATCCTACAGGACAATGATGGTCTTTGACTGAGCTAAAATTTGAGCTTTTCTGGCGACAGACAACATCGACTCTTGTCCTGTATTTATACTTCAGAGGGAGCTTTAATCTAAAATTCTGGTGTACATGCGTATTCTTGCAATGTTTTGCTTAAAAGATTATACAATATCTAGAATATAAAACCAATCGCAACCTGGCAGGTCTTCTCCTTGTGACCTTATTCCCATTTCTTGAGGGGTATGCGTCATAGCCATACACTTACATAACGAAAAGTATCTAATTTATACATCAATCCATACGAACTATAGTAATAATTAACATGTTACTTTGTTGACAGAACAGTCACTAAGTTACGAAAAGTCTAAACAGTACTATATATATATATATATATATATATATATAT